CATATATACTATATTATGTAATACGACACTATTAGAAATTGCAGAAATTGCCTGTTTGTTTGATGTAGCATGAATTACGTGATATCTCATTTTTCTCAAAAATGGACTTACACCACTTTCAAAATAAACGGTCCATATATACTATATTATGTAATACGACACTATTAGAAATTGCAGAAATTGCCTGTTTGTTTAATTTAGCATGAATTACGTGATATCTCATTTTTCTCAAAAATGGACTTACACCACTTTCAAAATAAACGGTCCATATATACTATATTATGTAATACGACACTATTAGAAATTGCAGAAATTGCCTGACTCGAACCTTTGGCACAGACCTTGTAACTCGTACAAGCTTAAACTGGAAGAGACTCGCAACCCTGATTTTGATTCGAGGTTAATAACGCGTGACTAAGACGCGCCTTGGAAGATTGCTTAATACCCGTATCGCAAACTTCTGAGAGTCGCACGCGTAACCACTTCGGATGCACTTCTCCGCGGAACGTCGCGTCGCGTCGTCGTCGTCGTCGTCGTCGTCGTGCGAAGCGTATCGCACCTGTTGCGTTCGCCCAACGTTCGCCCTGCAAAATCTCCCACCTTCTTTCACCCCCGATGGATTCTGGTGCGCGCGCGGTTGCTTATCATGGCGCATTCGAGGATCAGAGGCACACGGATCGTCGCTGAAAGAGGTTACCCCTATTCTCCGATGCATCCCCCTACCACCGAACGCGGCTGTGACAAAGATCTCTTTGTGCGTTCCATCAAAGCTAACTTCTATTCTATGCGGAACCCTCCGGTTACGATTCAACCGCGGGACGCCCCGGCGAGAATTGGAAATTCCTTTAATCGCGCCACTCGGGGATAATGAACTCGATTCGATGGATCTATTAGGAAATTGACGCTTTTTTTATGTAACAGATAATCATTTTTCACGGATCATCTCAGAGCAAAAATGTATCGGCTTCTTAAGTGAGCGTGGCTGGAGGAGCCCTCGTTTGATGATGAAAATAAAAAGAAAGTTGAAAACGGAAATAAAAATATAATATAAATAATTTATAATTGTGCCCATAATTATGAAAGTGGTCTAAGTAAAAATTAATGATTGAAGAATTGACTGAAGAATTTGCATTGTAAAGATGGGTCGAATTTCTAGCTTCCTTTTTATACTGATTTATTGAAATGTAACGAGAAACGTCTTCCAGTGATGGAAAACCATTATCGAAAAATTTGATAATCTTCTGAATGTCGATTGAAAATAATCGGAAAACCAGTTGGAACCCCTAGATTTATTTTTCTATCAATTCATATGGAGTCGCGGATTCGCAACGTTTCAATCAAAAGACATGATTTTGTCGCGTGAAATAAGTGATAAATTCATTTTTTTTTTAATTTTGACTTAGACCACTTACATAATTATGTCCTCGACGGCCGGCAACGTTTAAGTCGAAGAAATCGACTTTGACGTCACGCTTTTCTCTCACGATGAACAGACGGGAAAATACACTTCCTTTTAACACAGACAATGTGGCTTTGATACGACCTTTGACATTACGCGGCTATAGTATCGATCTTTTATTTATCCAGTTAAATAGTTCGTCAAATTCCAAACGTTGCGAATCCGCCCTTTTCACGGCGACTCCATATGAATTGATAGAAAAATAAATCTAGAGGTTCCAACTGGTTTTCCGATTATTTTCAATCGACATTCAGAAGATTATCAAATTTTTCGATAATGGTTTTCCATCACTGGAAGACGTTTCTCGTTACATTTCAATAAATCAGTATAAAAAGGAAGCTAGAAATTCGACCCATCTTTACAATGCAAATTCTTCAGTCAATTCTTCAATCATTAATTTTTACTTAGACCACTTTCATAATTATGGCGTTCGAAGGCTGCGTTCATCGATCGAGATCGATTCGAGGAGAAATCCTGACTACCGTGCGCGATGATCGATACCATCGCGCGACTTTTTAAGCGGATCGTGCAGGTCGTATTGACCGGCAATTTTCGCGCGGAGGAAGGTCATCACGAGACACGAGAGAACGACACAACGGACGAAATACATTCGAGCACGTCGATGAAAAATCCGATGCAGACCCACCCTTTACACGCACTATGGCGAAGAAACAATGAAACGTATGGAAACGAAGCTCGTAGAAATTCATAGAAAATTTATGAGTCTCGTACAACCATAAATAAAAATCGAACAGATTCATCCCCCTGACGAATTCTGAAGAAACGACGACAGACACGTGGAAAATGATAACGACTCGATTTTTTGATTTTTTTTTTAGGTAGTAGGAGCTCCAGACGAATCCGATGTAACAGCCCTTAATATTGGACGCTCACTTCCTGTATTACTGCGCCTGTTAGCCACAGCCAACTTATCAGTATTCCTGATATTAACTGTTGTTATCTTCCTGAAGTTAAATCCCGGCTAGGGAAATTTTGTGCAAACGAATGGAAAATTTGCAAAAAACCATCCGACATGTAACGATAAGTACGTAAATAAGATCCAATGACGTCTTCTAGTCGGGCGGTAACCAGGAAAGAACGAACGTGGAAAATGATAACGACTCGGTTGAAACGAGTTATTTATCGGCGATCGAGGAACGTCGCGACGCATTCTAATTAGAAAATGATTGGATATCGGTCGTCCGTGAGACGATGTAAAACCGGTGCGCGCGGTTTGCGCGCCGGCGAACACGACCTTCGGCCGCGGCGTCACACAAAGGCAGAGCCGAAGCTATTTTCTCGACGCGAGTAATCTCGAGAAGAGAGAGCAAAGAAGAAGAGCAAGCGCTTATCGTCATCGCGGCAACGGAACCACCGCCGACCGTCGACTGATCCCTGACCGAGGCGGCTATCGATCGATATATCGAGAATGGAACAGCAGTCGCGCGTCACGCTATATCTGCATCTACGTAGATATACATATGTATGTCAGCCCCCGTGTCCGTCCGTGTCGTTATGTATACGTATGTGTCACCTTACGATTCGATTCGAGCTATCGTGTCCGACCTAATCGAAACTGTACACTGGTCACGGTAATTGATTCCGTACGTACGAGCCAACGGGGTCGCCAGCGGGGGTGTAGCATTTTTTACGTCACGCGCGCACACGAACACATGATCCTGCCGAGGAATCTGCAGAGTCGTTTAACGATTCCCGAAGAAAATTGCGACTGTGAATCGATGGCGACGTTCTATTCCGACACAGTGAATGGCTCATCTGTACGTTTATTTGGGAACGAACAACAGATACATGTATAGAAAGGATGTTGCGGCAACGATTATTCGTTTCGTTACGTGCAAGGTAGCGCCGCCGTTAGCGCCTCCACCGGGGACACAGTACACGCGGTCTCTAAGTAGTAAAATCAACGAAATGTCCAACGGGATGTTTACGAATTTCGATGGTGAACGTTAGCCCGACCCGCAGCGACCACTGATCCCCAGGATAAATCCGCGGGGAGGAGGAACGAGGTGGAACGTGCGGGAAATAACGTCGCTCGACGATTGAGTAAAGGGTGAATTTTTTTCGCACACTTACGGTCGAGGAGTTTCTCCGGTGGCGTAGAGATATAGTCGCGGCTCGAACGAAAAAAAGCACGACGTAGCGATACGGAGAAGAGGCACTGCGACGTCGAGGAGGGGCGGGTTCTGAGATACCTCCGCGGGGCCTTGCTTGTTCAGCTTCGGCAAAGGGTAGCACACTACCAAGCAACGACACTGTAAACTGAACACACACCGTGCGACGGACAAACTTTATTTTACTTTTTTTTTTTTTTTCGGATTTCTGTCTATTCCGCGCGTAATATCTGCCGCGTGGGTTCTCCCCGAAAATGCTTGCCGCGTCTCTCTGCACTCGATTCCCCCGTTCGTCGTTTACCGTTCGCGCGACATTTCTAAACGGCAACGATCACCAAACGTGTCCCACGGACGTCCTCGCGTTTCCTACCACGGAACAGGATCCCTCGTTCCTCGGGGGGGTCGGTTTCCTCCCAGCACGCGCCACGGTCTTGTCGTGCTTCCGCTTCTTTCTCTTCTTCCTTCTCTTCGTGTCCCACGAGCCTCTCGACGCCTCCACCTCGTTCCGAGCAGCTCCGTTCTTCACCGCAGCGGCAAGGACCCGCCCCGTGTCGCGCTACACGAACGTGTAGTGGATAAAGAGAGCGTAAAACTTGCTCTGCGACAACATTGTCCCGCCGGTTATCGTCGGTATCTCGCCGCAGTCGTCATTTCTTCTTTCGCTCCAGTCTCTCGCCGCCCGCGTCGCAACGAAAATTGATCGCGTTGCGCGCGACGGTCCCTTCCTCGGGGACAGACCCGACGCGTTTCCACCACGTTCGCGTGCGCTCGCCTGGTCGACCCGTTCGCGCACAGAACTCTATCCTCACCACGATCCGTCGTCTTTCCTGCCTTCGGTGCCGTTCTTCGGTGCCGTTTACTTTCCTGACCGACCGACCGACCGACCGACCGACCGACCACGTAGGTCCTTTCCACTTCCTTTGTCTGTCGGTGGTTCTTCCTTCTGGCACATAGACGCGCGCGCGCGCGCGCCTTCCTCTCTCTGTGTTACCACCCTCTCGCGTCCTCCCCTGTTCCCTTCCCTCTCTTTCTGAACCCGCTCGTTTCTTCTCGCTCCACCACCCCCTACCTTTATCAACGCGTCTTTCTCTCTCACGCTAGCACCCTACCGAGAATTTCTATCTCCCTCGCTGGGTTCGCCACTCTCCCCCGTTTCGTCGACGTTTTACCTCGTCCACGGTTTCCCTGGCCAGAGATTTTTACTCCAGTTACCAGAGGGACGATTCACAAACCAATTTTCACCACCGTTTCGGTCCCGCCCGTTGACCACACTGCCACCGCGAGTCTCTCGAAGCACCCCCGCGTCTGACGTGCACGCTCTGCCTATTTTTTTTTACTGGCTGCAAGTGACTCCTCCGACGAGGGCCGTGTGTCGCGATTAGACAACCCCTACGCGGACGTTGTTACACCGCGACGCGCCGATCTCGCGCAACGGACTCGACGGGAACTAGTTTCGAGGCACCCCACTGTGACACCCTCGCCATTCGCGACCGACCGCCGTCGAACACCCTCCCACCGACCACCCCGGACTCTGTCTGACCACCAGCCGCGGCGCTCTCGGTCGACTCTGCGCGAAACCCTCTGTCGCAACTACAAATCCGTACTCACCCAATGACAATTGCGGTATACGCTTGGTCCGCACGAGCCTTCGAGGATCGAGCCCGTTCCTCCGTGCCTCGCTCGGTCCTCCCTCGCGACGTTATCGCGCCACTGCGACTATCCATCGTTGACGCGAGAGCAAACCACGGGAGACCGGCCCGAGCTCGTTTCTGATCGGTCAACGCTTTTGTCCGAAATAACGCCGATACGCTTCAGGTCGATATCGCGTTTTAGGATCCCTAAATTCGCACGCCCTTTTACCTCCGTACCGCGGTACGGATCAATGAAAATGTACTCCTCCTCCTCCTCCTCTCGGAACACCGCGCCCGTCGCCACCCCCGTGACAGCGAGGAACACGGTACCATACCGCGCCACCCGCTACTATCTTCGCCTAAAAACATTCGCCTTTCGGAAATAGCTGGCCCTCTCTGCGACCCTTAAACTCTGCTTCCCTCGGGAAACTGTCTGCCTGCGATCTGCAGATCCAAACCAGCTGGTTCACATGGCTCAGGAAATTATCGTGGGATCATGGAACTACCGGTTTTAGGAAATATGCCTCTTTATAATTTATTAACGATTCGTGTATAAATTTGTACATAATGTGTATGCATCGCATTGATATATATATTTATTCATATTTTTAGTTCAAATTGTAATTGACAATTTGAAGGTACGTGTAAAAATATATATATATGTGCCTCGTATAAATATGTATAGGAAAATCTCTTTGTAAAGTTTAACGGTGGTTCGTCGGCAGTGCAGCTAAACGTGCACGATACTCTCTTCTATCACGCGTTTAAAAACTTCTTATGTATGTACAATCGCTAGGAACGCGTATTCATTGACTTATATACTGGCTACTCCGTCGCGACATTTTTCGAACGCACAGATATATGCCAGTGGCGAAGAAAATTATCAATGGAAGGCCTAGACCGATGGACAGAATCATAATTACCAGGAATGAAAATTGCTCGTTCGGTGGTGTACCGTATCCGATTAAAAATGTCCTGCAAGGATAACGTCATTGTTATTTACGTTCTAAAATATTTTTTTATATTCTATAAAAATATTTTTCAATATCCACTGCGTG